ACTGTGAGGTGCTTCCGGCAGTACTTTAGCAAGACGGTAGCTTCCGGAGGACGAGGAGAAAGTAAACAACATGAAAACAAGAACAACTGGAAAAACCTCCTTCAGTCAGTTTTAACTCGGGGCAACCCCATGTGTTGCAGAGTAGAACTGACTTCCATAGAATTTTCTAGGAACCTTGGTGGTATCGTGGTTATGTGTTGGGCTGCGATCCTCATGGTCAGCAGTTCAAAACCACCAGCAGCTCTGTGGAAGAAAGACTGGGCTCTCTACCCCCATGAACAGTGATGGTCTTAGAAACCCACAAGGGGTCGTAATGAGTCAGCATTGACTCCATGGCAGCGAGTTTGGTTTGATTTGGACCTTTTGGGAAAAGGCCCCCCACCCCCACCCCGCATATGGTGCTACCCCAGAGTGGGTTTGAATAGCTATCTTTTCATTTAATAATCCATAACTTAACCCCTAAACCCAGGAACCTTTAGACAATATTAGAGTATCTTTTATTTCAGTAAAAAAGGATTGCATAAAGAATTTCAAGACAAACGCCTGAATGTTTTCCAGGCTTTCATAAAGCAATGGTGAAGAGCATGACAGCAGCCCTGAAGATCCCTCACTTTGGGTACTGTGAGGAGGTCGACCTTACTGAACTGGTTAAGTTGCGAGAAGAATTAAAACCCATCGCTCTTGCTCGTGGAATTAAGCTCTCCTTTATGCCCTTCTTTTTAAAGGTGAGGTATCTTTCATTACAACATGAACGAGTAGAACATTTAAACTTTGCTTTGCCAATATACAATGGCTTGAATAAAATACTGCCTTTCATCATATCATTAGTTACAAAAAGAACAAGCTTACTTTCCTCTTGTTTCATATGAATTTATGAATGGAAATGGTTGGGTTCCATTTTTAATTTAGCCAGATGGAGATGAGTTAGATGAAGTTAGGCCAAACCTTCAATTCTGAAAGGATCACTTCAGCCAAGTCCTGATTTGAACTAATCTATGTCAAGAAAATTGGAAGACAGCTTCCTGGTCAAGTAACTAAAAGAGATTCATATTTGTGCCCACTCCAAAGACAATGAACCAAGAATGCGGAAATTACCAAATAATATCATAATATTATAATAACAGAAGCAAGTAGAATTTTGCTGAAGACAATTCAAAACAGAGTAGTGTATTGATAGAAAACTATCAGAAATTCAAGTTGGATTCAGGAGAAAATAGGGAATGAGTGATATCATTGCTGATATCAGATGGATCTTGGCTAAAAGCAGGGAATACAACCACGTTGTCTTCCTGATTACTGTGTTTTCTTGACTATGCAAAGGCATTTGACTATGTGGATCACAGCCTTGCAAAGAACGGAAGTTCCAGAACACTTATGTGCGCTTGTGTAGAACCTGCACATGGACCAAGAGGCAGTTGTT